AAAAGATTTACATTGCTGAGAAGTTGCTAGGTGCTGCTGCTACTGCTGCTGCTCTGGGCGCACGCTTTGAGAAATATAGGTGTACAGTTGAGAGTCCCAGCAACCAAGGGGATACTTGCTGCCAGCAGCTCTCGGTGAAAAGAGTGTTCCACAGACTCTGAGGAAAGACTGAGCAAGGGTTCCCTCGCAATTTGCAACTGTTCAAGGTGGTGAAAAGAGGAGTTAGGACATGGACAGTGCTTGCAGGAGATCTAGAAGTGGCAGAAGTTACAGCGACAGCTCCTCACTCAGCAGTTGGGAGCTGAAAGTGCTGACAGCATTGGCACTGTGTTAAGTAGCAAAGATGAGCAAAGAGAAATTGCTGAAACAAGAGAAATGTGCAGGGCTTCTTATGATACTTCTGCTCCAAATACAAAATGTGAGTATTTGGATGAAGGAGAGACAGATGAAGACAAAATGAAAGAATATAAGGATCAAATAGAAATGCAACAAGAGGAAGAAAACTTGTCATATGAAGAAGAGATTTACAAAGATTCAAATACTTTTCTTGAGGGAACACTGTCTCAAAAAAAAAAAAAAAAAAAAAAAGGAAAGAAAAAGAAATAGTTGAACAGTTCAAAAAGGTCCAGACTGTGGTATCATGATAGTGCCCATAGGAGTGGGTAATGTGCATCCTCCCACTGCTGTCATAGCGATGGGGAGCTATCTTGACAGAATGGAGTTGGGACAGATAGTAAGCTTTTGTCAGAGTTTTAACATTTTCTTGGTGGAAGAATAAAAAGAGGTAGGCTTCTTTTTTAAATCTCTTTTAAATAAACTCAGATATGATTGAGTATTGAAGAAGTTGAGGGACTTTGAACAAAATGACCTCCTCCCAAATCTAATCTGATAGGGGAGGTAGAGAGCCCAGGAGTGAAGTAGAACTTGGTAGGCAGACTTAAAAAAAACCAAAAAAACAAAAAAGCTCATTGTCGTAATCTCAATTATGTAGTGACATATGACCCTTAGTCGTGCTTCCTAAAATGCAAACGAGGACAAATATCTAAGAGCTTGAACTCTGGTGTAGACTTGAAGTAGTTTCATATTCCTTAGCAAAATAAAGTAACAGAGGTAACGACAGAGATACCTGGTCATCAGATGCTTGGTTTGAACATTTTGTGGAATAAAGTATGTGGGATGAGGAAATGACATACATCTTCAAACTTGTTATGGAGAAAATTTAATGTAAAATCAATTATAGAAAACTCTTAAGAATACAGTTAGGGGCTTGGCGCCTATAGTTCAACCGGCTAAGGCGCCAGCCACGTACACCTAAGGTGGCATGTTGGAATCCCCAGCCCCGACCCGCCAAACAACAATGATGGCTGCAACCAAAGAATAGCCGGGCGTTGTGGCGGGCGCCTGTAGTCCCAGCTACTTGGGAGGCAGAGGCACTCTAC